GGTGCTCCCTGGGGATCCTCATTCTTCTGGTCCCTCCTCCTTTCCCTGTGTTTACATCAGGAATTTGATTGTCCAGATGGAGGAGCTTTCAAACTCTACTGGAGGAGAGAATGACATTTCCCAGCTGCTCTTAAAAAAAAAACAAAACAAAACAAAAAAAAAAAACCTAAGGAAGGAAGAGGAAAATTACTGATTAATCATGTCTGGCCCACGGGGTAACAATTATCATGTTAATTGGGGAAGAGTCAATAGTGAGGAAATCAGGACAAGATCTCCTGGTCTCCTGCCAGCCACTTTCCACTTTCTAGGAGACAACTCCTGCCAGTTTTGGGGGACACAGACACTGCCACTATGTAGGGAGGGTCATGCCTGGAGCCACCCCATCACAGCTGCAGGTAGAGAATGGAGAGCTTTGGTGGGTTCTGATTTATGTTGGCATCCTCATTGTCCTTCCTGGGCCACTGGGAAAGCTGGAAGTGACAATGTTCCTGGTGGGGAACATCTCAGAGCAGGGCTGGGAGGGAGCTGCTTGGAGGGGTGGATCAGCCTGAGGTGATGGATGTGTCCATGAGGTGAGGAGTTAGCAGATGTTTAACCCAGATGTTTAACCCAGATGTCAGCCTGGTTGTTCCCAGCATTGGCCATCACAGGTATTAACCCATGGGAAAAGGGTTTGTTATCATGGAATCATGGAATGGTTTGGGTGTGACCTTAAAGATCATCCAAGTTCCAACTCCCTGCCATGGACAGGAACATCTTCCACCGTCCCAGGCTGCTCCAAGCCCCATCCAACCTGGCCTTGGACACTTCCAGGGATCCAGGGCAGCCACAGCTTCTCTGGGCACCCTGTTCATTGTAATGTGAAGAAATTGAGACATCTTCCTGCTACAACAGAAAGAAGAAAACATCTTTATTTCTTTAATAAAAAACCTAGTAATTCTTTAATAATAATAATAATAAAAAAATTGTTTATTCCTAGAGTGTCTACAAGTTCTGTTGCCTGTTCCCACTGTCCCTCACTCCCTCAGGGATGCTCTTTCCATTGCTTCTAGAAGTTATAGTTTTTTGCTATATGGGGTTCAAGGCTAGGGTTTTCCCTAAACAGGCATCCTGCTTTTCCTTGTACTGCAGGGTGAACTCCGTGGTTGCAAGCCTGCAGGGAAACATGGAATTTCTCCATAGAATATGGAGAGCTCCTCTTCACACTGCTGGGGAATGAGACCTCCTCTTCACATTGCTGGCCAGGGATCCTAAAGCATATGGGATCCCACATTTTTATAGATATATAAATCTACCCAGCAGAAAAGGGAGAGGTGGAGAGCAGCAATATGAGATGCTGATTGAGTGTCCTGAACCTCTTCAACTTCAGCTGGATGGTTTGGTCTCATTTCAAAAGTGTCAGTGACAGGCAGACCAAAAAGGACAAGATCTGTGAATATGAGCATGTTCTGAGGGTGCATTTCTTTAAGAGGAAAAAACTTCCCTGTCATCCACCTCTGGCTTCTGCTGGACTGCATGTGGGAGCAGCCAGTGACGAGGGCAAAATATTGAGTCCCTGCTAAGGCTGGGCTGGTTGGCAGCTAGGAATGCCATGGCCCTGAATGTGTTGTTGTCCAAGTCTGGTGCCAGGAAATGAGTTTTATGAGCTGGAGCGTGACAAAAATTTGCCTGAGTGAGCATTGTCCCTTTTGGGACAGCACTGGGCTCGATTGGTGCAGCATCTACACATGGAGAGCATCCCTGGGAAACTGTCCTGTCAGCTTACCCAGATTCCTGCCTGCAGAGAGCCACTGGATGTGGCTCATAAATTAAAAAAAAAAAAGAGGAAGGAAGAGGAAAATTACTGATTATTTAATCATAGATGGGTGCCCGAGAGCCTGAGCTCTCTGAGAGGTGAGGCACAGCCCTCCCTTGGCTGTGAGCCTCTCTGCTCAAGAAGAAAGAGCTGAACAAGTCTCCATCTCCTGCACTTCTCCTGTGAGCAGCCCTTCAGAGGCAGCAGATGGGTCCAGCATGGCACCAACACAATCAGAAATAGCTCTGGCACAGCTTCCTGTGTGATTTCAGACTGTCTTGTCCCTGGCCATGTGGCCAAGCTGCAGGAACTGCTGGAAAAAGTCAACTCTGAGCTTTGCAGAGCCAGGATCTCATTAGACACGGCAGGGAGGAGCAGGAAAACAAACACCTGGCACCACCATGTCCCTTCAGCAAGGGGGATTGTGGTGTAAAAGGCAAAGACTGTGGTCTGTGGTAATTGAAATTCTGTCTCCCAAGATTACTCCTGAGGAAGGCAGTGAGAAGCTCAGAGAAGAAGACAAAGCAATTCTTATTTCTTCTTGCTGCTCCTGTTGTTTGGCACATGTGGAATGTGTTATGGAGATTGTTTGCTGAAGGTGAGGATTGTTTGGATTGACTGGCCAGTTGGGTAAAAGCTGTGTTGCAATGGTTGGAGGCAGTCCTGGGTTTTTCTTGAATATCTTTTTAGTATATAAACTCTTTAGTATTCTTTAGCATAGTATCTCTTTAGTATTTATTGGTGATATTTTTGCCCGAAGTCTGGGAGGAACGATGAAGAGGACTCTGTCTTATCTGAAATAAGAAGTCAGTCAAGAATAATATAGTATAATAACAAATAATATATTATTATATTTATTCTTTATTATATTATTAGATTATTCTTTATTATACTCTATTATTCTTTATTATACTCTATTATTCTATATTATATTACACCATGCTACATCACATCCAAATTGAATCTGCCAAGCACTCAACCCTGCACAGAATCTCATGACTGTCCTAACACACACACACCTGGATTCAATTGGTCAGTGAATCCAAACACTCACACCAGAATCCAATTCTGTTCAGGTAAACAATCTTCCACAATGCATTCCACTTGTGAACAACACAGGAGCAGCAAATGAGGAGAGAATTGTTTTGATTATTCTTTTCTCTGCTTCTCTCAGGTTCAGGGAATGTGAATTCCACAAATATTCTTTATTGTAGCTTCTCTTTAGTATGTAATTTAGTATAGTATTACTGTAATATGGTGTAGCTCAATAAAGCATTTGTTCAGCGTTCCTGAATCATAGAGTCAGAGCACATTATTCCCTGGATGGGGGTCACTCATCTACTACAGTGGTCTAAGAGGGAAACCCAGTATTTGCAGAGCATCCTCCTACCTGCCATGGGCTGGGACTGGCAGAAGGACTGACATCAGCTGTGGGGATGACAGGATTTGTGGATTTGTGCTCCCAGTTGGGCTCTGGGCTGGTCTCTGGGCCTCTGGGATGGCCAGGGTGCTGCAACGTGCATGAGCAATAAGAGGGGTCTCCTGTTAGCACCAACCTTTGAGGATATGAAAGTGAAAAGAGCAGGGAAAAAACTAAAAAAAAAAATCAAGTCCAAGCCAGTGGAATGTCTCTGTTTTATTCATTGCTGCCTGACTTCTTATTTGCTATTTACTTATTTACTTGAAGGAGAGGTGACCTTCAAAGCTGCTGTTTGTCCCTGGCAGCCTCTTGGTTGCAGGTTGCATGTTAATTCTGGCTGGGCACTGACACTGAGCATCCCAGGCCTCCTGTGGGGGAATCTCTGTCCCTTAATTTCAGTGCTGTTTAAAAGCAGGAGTCTGCTTTGGGTAGCCAGGCTGGGTTTGGAGGCCTAAACCATGAAAAGCTGTAGGGAAAATGTGAGCCTGGTGATGCAAATTCCCCTCAAATTTTGTTCCACCTCATCCCACTCATGTGAGGGATGAGTGGCTCTGACTCTGTGCCATGGAGGGACAGTTTGCATCTCCCACAGCAGATGTGGGAATGTTCTCTCCCTCCAAACTCTGCCTTTGCAGAGAACAATCATCCACCGCCCACAGATCCAATGCAACACAGTTTATTTTCATTTTTAACAGCCTGTAAACCAAGCATCTTTCCCTCCAGCCTTTTCCACTCACCAGGGATGTCCATGCAGTCTTCAAGGTGCTTTTAGAGCCTCCAGAACAGCAAGGTGACCACAGCCAGAAATGCATCCAAATTGTGTCTGGGTAGAATGACCAAGAGATGATGACAAGAGGGGCTTCTGGGGCAGGAGCCAAAGGAAAAGATGGGATGTCTGTGGTGTTTACAGCACTGCCAAGATGCCAGCAATGATTTGTTGGCAGCCAAACACCAAGCCAGGACCTTGCAAGCCAGGCATCTCATCCAGGGTGTGCAGTGTGCCCTGGACACTTCCCACCTGGGACATTTCAATTTATTACTCCAAATAAATTCAGTGCTATGCTCCAGGTCCCAATTAATGCAGCAGGAACTGACTCTGGGATATTGTGAACACATAAAAACGTTTCCCTGTGCTCTCAGACAGATGCCACACTTCACCCGGACATGGAGGGTTTTTCTGGGAGGGAAAATTTGTCACCCTGGGTTTCACTTGTGCAAACAGAAAATACTGCTCCTTTCAAAAGCAGGGGAAATGAAGGCAGGAAATAAAGGCATGCAAAAAAATTAAGGCAGGAAACTCATTTCTTGAAGGAGAGGGGTGTGAATGGTCTAAAGTCTTCCTTTTATAACCTTAAAAATTAGTTACGGGGAAAACAGTCCCAAAAAGTGGGCATATTGAATTCAAGATAAAGGTGCCACTTTTGTAAATACACAGCCTTAACCTGGCAAATCTTACCCATAATTTTGGATGTACATCCCTATAGGAGGAGCTAATTCTTCCCCTTGGCACAGGGGCTGCTTCAGAGGCAAGAACAGAGACAAAGAATGGTTTGGGTTGGAAAGGACCTTAAAGATCATCCCGTTCCACCCCCAGGCATGAGAAAGGACAATTTCCACAATCCCAGGTTGCTCCAAGCCCTGTCTAGCCCAGCCTTGGGCACTTCCAGGGATCCAGGGGCAGCCACAGGTGCTCTGTGAACAGGCTGGGATGGTACCCAACCCATTCCAACTCCCTCTCAACAACACCTCCCATGAATCACTCTAATTTTTAACCAACAAAAGTGCAGCTCTGCTAAAGCAGAGCCACCAAAAATTCCCAGTCACTCCTGACTGTTCCTCTCCACGGAAATCTTTAGTAAAAGGCGAAAGATTTATTCGCTCTGAAGAGAAACCAGAGGATGCCCTCCTCGCCCTGCCCAGGCCCTGCCCTGCATGGAGGCTCCTCTGAAGGACACGGTCACCTTTTCCACCCCCAGTTTCACCCTGTGCTGTCCCCAGACGGGTCCCCTGGCAGGGTCACAGCCCAGTCCTGTGTCTCCACCAAACTGTTCCCACGGCAAAAATGGGAATTTGGAGCAGAGCTGTACTGCTGGCCCGCAGTGCACCCTGGGTATGCAAATTAGCTGAATGCTAATGAGGCACAGGTAATGAGCTCTAGGGAAACATGAGACAAGCGCCTTTTGTCAGCTGGGCAGAGCCTGGGCTGGCTCAGCTCAGCTCCTGTTCCAACCCACACAGAATGCCAGCAGGGGCTGGGTGGGAAGGGACCTTAAATCCCACCCAGTGC